AATCTATAGATTCAATGTAATCCCTATCAAATTACCAATGACATTTTTCACAGAACTAGAAAAAATAATTTTTAAATTTGTATGGAAACAAAAGAGCTCAAATAGCCAAAACAATCCTGAGAAAGAAGAATGGAGCTGGAAGAGTCAGGCGCCCTGACTTCAGACTATACTACAAAGCTACAGTCATCAAAATAGTATGGTACTGGGACAAAAACAGAAACATACATCAACGGAATAGGGTAGAAAGCCCAGAAATAAACCCACACACTTATGGTCAATTAAACTATGACAAAGGAGGCAAGAATATACAATGGAGAAAAGAGAGTCTCTTCAACAAGTGTTGTTGGGAAACCTGGATAGCTACATGTAAAAGAAATGAAATCAGACATTCTCTAACACCATACACAAAAATAAACTCAAAATGGATTAAAGACCTAACTATAAGACCAGATACTATAAAACTCATAGAGGAAAACATAGGCAGAACACTCTTTTACATAAACTGCAGCAATATGTTTTTGGATCCGTCTCTTAGGGTAATGGAAATAAAAGCAAAAATAAACAAATGGGACCTAGTTAAACTTAAAAGCTTTTGCACAGCAAGGAACCATAAAGAAAACAAAAAGATAACCTATGGAATGGGAGAAAATATTTGCAAATGATGCAACTGACAAGGGATTAACTTCCAAAATATACAAACAGCTCATACAGCTCAATATCAAAAAAACAAACAACCCAATTTAAAAAATGGGCAGAAGTTCTAAATAGACATTTCTCCAAAGAAGACATACAGATGGCCAATAGGCACATGAAAATGTGCTCAACATAGCTAATTATTAAAGAAATGCAAATCAAAACTACAATGAGGTATCACCTCACACCAGTCAGAATGGCTATCATCAAAAATTCTACAAATAGGTTCAGGGAACTCTACTCAGTGTTCTGTGGTGACCTAAGTGGGAAGGAAATCCAAAAAAGAAGGGATATATGTATACATATAGCTGATTCACTTTGCTGTACAGTAGAAACTAACACAACATTGTAAAGCAACTATACTCCAGTGTAAAATAATTTAAAAAAAAAGTTTAAGAGAAAAGAAAAAGTCTACAAATAATAAGTGCTGGAGAGTGTTGAAAAAAGGTGTACTCCTACACTGCTGGTGGGAATGTAAATTGGTGCAGCCACTATGGAGAACAGTATGGAGGTTCCTTAAAAACTAAAAATAGAGTTACCATATGATCCAGCAATCCCATTCCTGGGCATATATCCAGAGAAAACTATAATTTGAAAAGATACATGCTTATTGAGGTGAGATTGAATTGCTATAAACTTCCCTCTTAGAACTGCTTTTGCTGCGTCCCATAGGTTTTGGGTCATCGTGTTTTTGTTGTCATTTGTTTCTATGTAGTTTTTTATTTCTTCTTTGATTTCTTAGTGATCTCTTGGTTACTTAGTAGTACACTGTTTAGCCTCCCTGTATTTGTGTTTTTTACAGTTTTTTTTTTCCTGTAATTGATTTCCAATCTCATAGTGTTGTGGTCAGAAAAGATGCTTGATATGCTTTCAGTTTTCTTAAATTTTCCAAGGCTTGATTTGTGACCCAAGATGTGATCTATCCTGGAGAATGTTCCATGTGCACTTGAGAAGAAAGTGTATTCTGCCACTTTCAGGTGGAATGTTCTATAAATATCAATTAAATCTATCTGGTCTATTGTGTCACCCAAAGCTTGTGTTTCCTTATTTACTTTCTGTTTGGATGATCTGTCCATTGGTGTAAGTGAGGTGTTAAAGTCCCCTACTATTATATACAATGGAATATTACTCAGCCATAAAAAGAAACGAAATTGAGTATTTGTAGTGAGGTGGACCTAGAGTCTGTCATACAGAGTGAAGTAAGTCAGAAAGAGAAAAACAAATACTGTATGCTAATATATATATATGGAATCTAAAAAAAAAATGGTACCGATGAACCTAGTGGCAGGGCAGGAATAAAGACATAGAGAAGGCACTTGAGGACATGGGGGAGAGGGGGAAACTAGGGCAAAGTGAGAGTAACATCGACATATATACACTACCAAATGTAAAATAGTTAGCTAGTGGGAAGCAGCAGCATAGCACAGGGAGGTCAGCTTGGTGCTTTGCAATGACCTAGAGGGGTGGGATAGGGAGGGTGGGAGGGAGGCTCAAGGGGGAGGGTATATGGGGATGTATGTGTGCATGTGGCTGATTCACTTTGTTGTGTGACAGAGGCTAGTGCAGTATTGTGGAGCAGATATACTCCAATAAAGATCTATTTAAAAAACCAAAAAAACCCAAAAAACAAAACAAAACAAAAAAGATACATGCACCCCAATGTACATAGCAGCACTATTTACAATTGCCAAGACATGGAAGCAACCTAAGTGTCCATCAAAAGTTGAATGGATAAAGATGTGGTATATACGATTCAAAAATGATACAAATGAACTTATTTACAAAACAGAAATAGGTTCACAGACATAGAAAACAAACTTATGGTTACCAAAGGGAAAAGGGGGGAAGGGATAAATTAGGAGTTTGGGATTAAAATATACACAATACGATATATAAAATAGATAACCAGCAAGGACCTGCTGTATAGCATAGGGAACTATACTCACTAACTTGTAATAACTGATAATGGAAAAGAATCTAAAAAATGAAAAGTATATATATATATCTGAATCACCTTGCTGCACATCTGAAACTAACACTATGTTAGAAATGAACTGTATTTCAATAAAAATTAAAAAAAAATAAAAGAGAGATTTATCAATTTGGCAATGGATGGAAGTCATAACTCCATGGTCTATGCTTATTATTCTTAACCCTGGTATACTCCACAGCCTCAGCAAGAGTGCAGAGCCCACTTACCAATGACTTTTAAAAGATTTAACTAGATTTGATCCATAGTTTAGGGTGAAAGTTAAAATGTGAAAAGAAAAAAAAAAAACCAAGCCAAGGAATTTCTTAGCCAAGTATATAAATATATAGGCAAGAGTGTTGCAGGGTCATTTAATCTACTTATGACACCTATGATATCCAGCACTTAGGTAGAACTTCACTTGTTTCACAGTAATCATTAATGTGCTAATTGCTAATGATCTTCATCTGTTCTTTTGAGTCAATAGGAATTTAGTGAACATCTTCTTGTGCAAAATATAGTGCTGGGCCTCGAAGGGATAGAAAAATAAAAGTTACCTATTTGGACCTACTGAGGGCAAGCCGTGTTAAGATCCATCATAGCAATATTCCTTCCTCTTCTCCCCCCCGCCATCCCCCTCCCACCCTTCTTCTTCTCCTTCTTCCTTCTTCTTCTCCTTTTCCTCCTCCTCCTTCTTTTTCCTCTTCTCCTCCCCCCTTCCCCCTTGTCTTTCTCCTCCTCTCCCTCTCCCTCTCCTCCTTTTTCTTTCAAACTATAGAAGCACAAAAAAGGGAGGAATTCATTTTAACTGGAAGATTTAGGAAGGCTTATGGAGTGTAGAGCCCTGAGCAGGGTCTTGAACAGGAGGCAAGACTTTAACATGCAGGGATGAGAGAAAAAGCTTTTCAGGCAAGGGGCTCATTGGAGCAAAACAATATTGGTGGGGGAAGTTCAGGGAAATAAGAACTAGCGTGAGTGGTCAGAGCATGTGTACATGAGATGATAAGTGTACGGAGGAAAGAGCAAGGGGTAGGAGTGGTGGGACTGCCGAGGGAAGATGTGGCTGATCCTGAAGAAGCCATTAGTTCCCTCAGGAGGGCTCTGCATTTAGCCTTCTGGACCAATGAATGGTTACTTGTAGGAGGGGGTAAGTGATGAATAAGCAGATTCCTTGTCATCATCCAAGACCTGAATCTAATTCGTGAAGGTTAGGCTCAGGAATCTGCATTTACACCCTTGAGAGAGTCTCACAGACACTAAAATGACTATGAGCCCTCCACCTGGGCACAGGTTGTTATTATTACATTCTTTTTAAAGAAATGATTATATGTGCTGTTGTCCTCCAAGGTTCTCTGTAATCCAAACTTTTATAATATAAACTGGCTGTCTCTCTGCTTTATAAGAAGCAGTAGAGTTTACTCATAAGGGCTCACTTTCCATGATATATCTTGATGGTAGTGGATGATATGAGTGTCCAAAGTTAGGAAAATAAGAAAAAACACACTTGGGAAGAATTACTAGCTTCCCTGTTAGTGCAGGAGCTGACAAACAAGTTCCCCTATACAGAGGCACTGGCTACTTTCCAGGCTGGCCATGACCACTCAAGCTCCCAGACCACTGGCTAGAAAGGTCAAAGTCGTATTTTATGAAGCTCAGCTACTTCAATGAAACATAGTGTTGAAAAACCTCAAGTACTCTGTAAATAGATTTCTAGGTTTTCTTGAAAGGTTTATGAGAACACCATGGCTTAGCACAACGTTATGTGAGTGAAAGGACCGGAATGCCCCTTTGAAGGGATGCGTGTTGCTTTGTAAATCTGTGCCTAGCCAGATAAGAACCCAGATAAGAACACAAGTTTTGGGGTCAGGAAGACCTGGGTCCAAATCACAGGTCTTTCATTTACTCGCTGTGTGCGGAGGCAAGTTACTTAATTCCTCTGAACCTCGGTTTTCTTGGGGCTATAATGCCTAGTTCTCAAGGTTATTTTGAGGGCTGTTCTCTTCCCCCAGATATCTATATGACTCATAACAACATCTCTTTGGGTCTTCACTAAATTGTCCTTCTCAGTGGAGATTTCCCCAAGCTCTATATTTTATGCTGAAAGCACCTCCCTACCTGACCCCAACACTTCTTATCCTCTTCCCATGCTTTAATTTTCTCCTCAGTACTTAATATAATACACTATATATTTTACCATTTTTATTTTCTTTATTTTCTATCTCCAACAGTAACATTTTAACAACAGAAGAGTGAGGATTTTTGCCTGTTGTGATCACTGCTATAACCTCTATGCCTAGAATAGTATTTGAAACAAAATAAGTGCTTAATAAATACTTACTGAATGAATGGATGGATGATTAAATGGTTAGTCAATGGGAAGATTCCAGGGCCAGAACTTTTGGTCAGTATGGTTTGATAAGTTCATGCTTCCACTGTCCTTGAGTGCCAAATATCCAGAAATAAGAGATCAACTACAAAAAGAAAAGAAAAACATTAAAAACCTAACTGTGTTATACGAGAGGTTAAAATTAGGAGAAGAAGCTGGTGGAAGGTATTTGGGAACTTTCTGTACTATCTCTGAAACTCTTCTGAGAGTCAAAAATTATTTAAAAATAAAAGTTAACAAAAATAACTGTGGTTAAAAAAAAAGAAAGATTAGCATCTCTGTGGCCTAGAAATAGAACCAAAACACAGCAATAATCAGGGGCTAAAGGTGTGGCCCACTAGGCTCTTCACCTAGCCCGCCAAGACTGTGGGTAGTTGAATTTCTGCGGCAAGGAGAACCACATGTGGCAGGGACCCAGAGTGAATCTCAAAAGCTAAAATTGAGAATCTGGGCAGGACTCTCCAATCCACAAAGGGAGGCTTAAAGTCATACTACCTGTTGTCCAGGGCTATGGCTTGTGTAGTGCTATGGGAAGGAGACAAACAGCTGTGCAACTAGGACTTGGGCCATGCTATTTGTTATTGGCCCACTTCTAGACAAGGGTGGAAAAGCAGTATTTGAAAAGATAGTGGATGAGAGTTTTTCAGTGTGAAACATAGATCATTGGACTCAGACTGAAACACAAGGAAGGCTAAAGATAAATAAAAATGGAATTGTACTTACATAAAAAGGGCAGAACATCATAGATACCAAGAAAATCTCCAAAGCTACTAGAGAAAGAGGACAGATTGGCTACCACAGAATAACAGTGAGGTGGATGGCAGGTAGCCCATCAGCAGGAATCTCTGCCAGAACTCAGTAGATACCTACAAAGTGCTGATGGGGAAAAGGATCTCCCCTAGACTTCTATATTCTGTCTTACTATCAATCAAAAGTATTAATATATTAGTTTGCTAGGGTTGCCATAACAAAATACCACACGCTGTGTGACTTAAACAACAGAAATTTATTTTTTCACAGTTCTGGAGGTTGGAATTCCAAGATCCGGGTATTGGCAGGTTTGATTTCTCCTGAGGCCTCTCACTGGCTTGCCTTCAGGCTGTGTCCTCACATGGTCTTTCCTCTGTGTATGTAAATTCCTGGTGTCTCTTTTGTGTGTCCAAATTTCCTCCTCATATAAGGACACCAGTCAGATTGGATAAGAGCTCACACTAATGGCCTCATTTTAACTTAATCACCATTTAAAGGCCCTATTGCCAAATACTGTCACATTCTGACGTAGCGGGGGTTAGGGCTTTATCATACGAATGGGGGGGCATAATTCAATCCATAGCAGAGTAAGAGAAATAAAGACATATTCAGATCCACAAAAAATTAGAGCATTTATTACCTATAGACACTTGCTTCAAGAACCATTAAATGCTGTTTATCACTAAGGAGAGAAGAAAATACAAACAATACTAGAAATACATACAAAAAGTGGTAATTAAGTTTATTATAAATGAATTAAATTCATCTGTTGAAAGCTAGAGATTATCACATGGGTTTTTTAAGACATCCTGTTACATGAGTCATAAAAGAGACATATCCAAAACACAACGACCCAAAGATTGAAACTAAGTGGATGAAACAAGATATAACAGCCACATATGAAAAAAATAAAGCTGGTACAGCAATATTAGAATTAAGCCAAAACAACTTAAGGAAAAAAAAACATTAGTGAAATAAAGAATACTAGATAATAATGAAAAGAAATTCTGCCAAGAAGATGTAAAAACCGTAACTTGTATTTCTCTAAAACCTAATAAAAATATATAGAGCAAACACTGACATAGCAGATGTGTAATCATGACTGGAAATTTCAGATCATCTCTCTCAGAGATGATTTAACAATCTTGAGTATATACACATTTATTCTCTCACACACACAGATACATGTAAGTTTCTAACATAGAGAATATATACGTTCCCCTTGAAAGTTCTCTCTGCCTTGTTAATCTGGCATAAACTTTTCAAACTTCAAGACTGAATCTTGCTTGGGTCTCTTGGGAAGAATTAGTCATTACAACTCTGGGTTCCCTTAATATCGTCCACATATCTTCTATAGCACTTATCTTAGTATTTGTAGAAAGGTACCTATTTGTTTCCACTAGACTCTGAGTCCCTTGTTGGCACTGGCGTGTTGTCCATCTCTGCAAGTCCAATTCCTGGCACATAATACATGGTTGGCAATTGCTCGTTGAATGAATGAATCCAGTTTCTGCCCTTCAGAGCTCACAAGGTAGAATAATAAGCAGCTAACATGCATTGGGAAAGTCTAGGTGCTGAGCACTCTTCTAAGTGCCTTATAGGTAGTATCCCATTAGGCATCACAGCATCCCTACAAGGTTAAGTGTTCAGATTATCTCCCTTTACAGATGAGAAAATTGAGACTAGTGAGCTTTTGTGTTGATAACTTGTCCAAAGTCACACAGCTAATAAATAGCAGAACCAGAATTTGGTTCCAAATTCTCTGATTTTGGGGTCTGAGCCCTTCACCATCATATTATGCTACTCATATTTTATATATGAAAACACAATCACTAATAGAAATGGGTACTGGCCAAGCAACCATTGAACTAAATAGTCAATAAATTCAATGCTATTTTGCTGAAAAGATTAGTTGCACAGATTCATATCTTGACAAACTGTAAAGTGATTCCCACATCTTTCCCTTTCCCTCTTCTCTGGAAAGAACTCCTCTCTCCCACTTCTCTGGAAGGATGTCTTGCGTGAGAGATAAGGGAAGAAGTCATGTGGTCACTTTCCTTGGACTCCAGCTCCTCTCTGAGGTCATTCCAGAACCCTCCTGGCTACCCTACAATTCTACAGTCTTGGCAGGAATTGCAGAGTGGTGCCCTGTGACTCTCAAATCCATCTGGCTTGATGTTTCTCCATGTCCTTAATAGGGACAGGAGAGACGAGTGGTACTAAGGGCCCATGTAGACAATCGGGCAGCTGCTTTTTTCTCTATAATATCGAGAAAGTTCAGCTATAGATCACTCAATATAGGTCACCCTGGGGTGGAGGGGAACAAGACAACCATTTGCTTCTTAATCCTCATTATCATGAAAACATTATGAACTATTTTATATTTTTGGTGCCTGGATCATATGGGTCATGAACTAACATATATACACATACACATATACAGATATACACCATCGACAGCTTTATTCTCACCGAAGTAACAGTCAAGAAGAAAATACTGCTTTATTTGAGGAGATACGTATCAACTTCTCTTGAGTTCTGGAAGCCCTCATGCTCCATCCAGTGTCACTGAGAAATTATTATACAGCTTACATTGCCCATTGTGTCTGTTATACGGTACATTTGACCACAGTTTATGAGACAATTTACCACTGAATAATTTCCCGCCAAATGTGGAAGCTAGAGACAGTTTAATTCATGTCTAACTTCAAAGCTGAAGCAATTGAGGGCTGCAGCTGAGCAGTGAAACAGTTGGCAGGGTGAACATTGTAAAGGCTTTGTCTACAAGATTTAGAGTGCAAATTTCTGGCCAGTAATTCAACATCAATGATCCCTTTTAAGAAATCATCTTGAAAAGCTCCTCTGGTTTTCAAGGTAGATCTCTTAAAGCCCCAGATTGGTGAGAGAGATAATAATCAAAATAACAATACTCTGTTTTTTGGTAGAGAGGGTTCAAGTTTTAAAATGTATTAACAATTTAGTCCTAATACGGATTTTGCTAAGGCTTTATTCTCCCCCCAAATTAAAAATGAGAAAACTAAAGTTCCCAGAAAAGAAATGACTTATCTGTGCAAAATCACACAGTTGTTAGGAAGTATTATAGATAAGACTTAAACCTAGATTTTCTTGTCTAATACAACACCCTTCCCCCTATACCAAAATTTGTCGGTTGTACTTTACTTTGTGGTTATTTTTAACTGCCTTCAGATGTGGGTCCCTTAGCCAAAGAGCTAGAATCTCTGCTGTGTTGCACAAGGGAAGGACAGTCAGAAGATAGCTGAGCTGAGAGGGACCTTAGAGACCATCTAGTTCCATATTTTTGCTTTAAGATGAGAAAAGCAAGACCCAGAGAGATGGGGTTACTTATTGAGACGAGACCAGGGTCAGAATCCATCTTTCCTCATCTTCAGCCTTTCTGCTACTACCTGACACTTCGTCAGAAATGTATCACCTCCAAACTCTTGAAATTGTATCTATTTATTCAATCTACATTTACTCATCACTTGCTATGAGACAATTAAAATGGTTTAGTTACTGAGAACACAAAGATTTATACTACAGAAACTCTTAGTCCTTTAGGGAAGATAGATACATAAACAGTTATAGTTACTATTGGAGGTTTACACAGATGAAATGGATTAGCAAAGAAGGTGTAATTAATTAGGCCTATGCAACAGCGGAAGACTTAACCAAGAAGTAACAGTTGAGTTTTCAAGTAAGAGGAGAAGTTTACTATCCAGATCATGGAGAAAGGGTTTTGCATGAAGAGAGAATTATTTGTGTAAAGGAATTAAGGCTGTGAGAAATCACCGAGAAAAACATGCCAGCCCTTAGGTATGGGTAAGTCACAGGAGACTCAGAGTGACAGGAAAAGACAGTGGAAAGAACAGAGTCAGATGAAGGCTTCATATGTCATAGCAAGGAATGAGGACTCTCTCCACAAGGAGATGAGGAAATTTAAAGCATGGAAGGCAGCAGATTTGATTCACAGACTGACTTTGTTAGGTGAGTATTATTATTCCCAATTTTAGAGATGCAGAAACTATTGGGTTCACAGAATAAATAACACGTCTCATCATCCTGTGTGTGTGTGTGTGTGTGTGTGTGTGTGTGTGTGTGTGTTAAAGAGCCTCAATCAAGACTCGGGTACTCTGAATCCAAATCCCAAGTTCTTTAGACGTCACCATGCTGCCTCTGAGAGTAAGTGCTTTTTAAAGGGAGAGACTGAGTCCTGAGGTCCTTCCAAAGATGTACAGCATGGAGAGTACAGAGGCCCCATATGACTCCTTCCCTGATGAAACACCCACCTGACCACTGCTTACTTCCCAGAGCCTG